GATGGGGTGCCTTTGGTGCCAGCGCCGGAGGTTAGGAGTTTGGGAGTGCTCCTGGACTCCTCGCTATCTATGGAGGCCCAGGTGGCAGCCACTGCCAAGTCAGCTTTTTACCATCTGCGGCTGGTGCGGCAGTTGGTTCCCTTCCTCGACCGCAGTGACTTGGCCACAGTGATCCACGCAATGGTCACCTCGAGGCTAGACTACTGCAATGCTCTCTACATGGGGCTGCCTTTGTCGCAAATCCGGAAGCTGCAGCTAGTGCAGAATGCTGCGGCCAGGCTGTTGATGGGTCTTCCTAGTAGGGACCACATCCAGCCTGCGCTGAAAGCGCTGCACTGGCTGCCAATAGCGTAAGGGATTCGCTTCAAAGTGCTGGTTCTTACCTTTAAAGCCCTATATGGTCTGGGTCCAGCTTACCTAAGGGACCGCCTTTCCGCATATGTTCTCCTATGAGCACTACGGTCTGGGATGCAACATCTCCTGGCAATGCCAGGTCCCAAAGAGGCCAGGCTGGCCGCTACCAGGGCCAGGGCTTTCTCGGTGGCGGCTCCTACCTGGTGGAATGAGCTCCCAGAGGAGATCCGAGCCCTGCGGGACCTTGTACAGTTCCACAGGGCCTGTAAGATGGAGCTCTTCCACCGGGCGTATGAGTAGGAGCCGCCACTACCATCACTACTGTTCCATCTTAACCTGGCCCTGGAAGAGGGAACATCAGTGTTTCCCGGAGCAGATGATGCTGAGTAGGGAGAGCAGTTGCAACAGAGCAGGTGAGATACGCCATCTTGTAACACCATGTTAAAACATCTAGAGCACCTTTGTTAATTAATGTTATTGTATTGTAGTGATTTTAAATGGTTTTAAATATGTTTTATATTGGCTTATGCCTCCTGTAAGCCGCCCTGAGCCCACATAGCGAGGAGGGTGGGGTATAAATTGAATAAAATAAATAAATAAATTAGGAATTCACAAACCCAATATTCAGTTCCTGAGCTCTATCACCTCCTCTTCAATGCAAAATACCAAACTGTCTTACCTAAGTGCTTTAGTGAGCTACAAGCAGTATGGTTTGTTTTGCCTTGGAGCTGTGCTCTGTAGTTGGTTTGGGATTCTGTAAGCTAATGGCTGCTTCTTGATGCCCCGAGGAAGGCTGACCTGCAGAAGCAGTCACAAATGTGAAGTTGTTGTCCTGTAATCTCTGGATGGTACAACACACTCGAGTAGATCTTGAGGAACATTTAGTGCTGGAGCCTCTTGGCATCATGCCGCATTTTAGGAAAGCACAAAAGCACCTGTAAAACTAACACATAAATACAGACTGGTTTCACTGGCTTTCTATTCAGACACAGTAGAACAGGAGGTCTTTTGTGGTAGTCCTGGTGGCTGAGATCTCCCAGAACCTACAGTGGGTAAAACTAAAATTGATGACATAAAGTAGCAGGTGCCTTTTTAGTTCAGTATATTTTCTTTGAATGTCATAGTTATAATTTAGATGGTGCCTAATTCTCTATCCTTTTTTCAGCCCTCGCAGGGCATTTCATGGATGGAACAAGCATCTGAGTGGTAAATGAGTATCCCAGTCTACAACTCCTACTGACAGACATCCACAGCCACAACAGCAACGTGTATCCATTCCACCCATCCCCACCCCAGCTTGGCATTCTTGTCTTTGAGAAGTAGTGCAACCCCTTTTCATCAGGAGTGCTTTAAATATCTTCCTGCGGTAGCTTTCTCCATGTAGTAAAGCATTCTGTGCCTTGTCACACAGCTCAGAAAATTTTCTCCACAGCCTCACAAATACTTCTTATGGAAAAAAGCAAAACAAAAACAAAAACCCCACAACTTACAGGGCAAATCATTGCACATGACCTGTTTGTTTAGCAAATTCTCAGCTCATCTTCAGAATTTACAATATGGGACATAATCATTTAAAATCTAAAAAACAAAATGCAGAAATAAACATACAAGCAATTTTAAAATTGCCAGTGTAACCAATGGAAATCAAGAAATGTTAGAAATAAAAAGCTGGTATGAAAAAAAATATGTGATCATTCTCCTTTTGCCATGAAACTTACTGGGTGAGCTTGGCACAGTCATTCTCTCTCATTGTAACCTACCTCACAGAGCTGTTGTGAGAGGAAACGCAGGAGAACCACATATGCCACCCAGCGGATGAGGTAAAGAACAAACTGAGGGAAAAGGGGAGCCTCCTCTTGGAGCAGATCACCGTTTAGCCAGGAAAATGGCTTCTGTAGACTCCAAGGGGGAGGGACCCCCTCCTGTAGTTTTTTAAGGGACTAGAGAAAGCTAGAAAGATTGGGACATGCACAGTCCCAGTATGTGCCTGCACAGAAGACAAATAGATGAACAAAAGTCAACACTGTTTAACTGATCCTACAAAATATGGGACACAGATAAAGCTTTGTACTAAGTCACTCACTCATAAAATGTTTGAATTTTATATGTTAGATCAACACAGCACTCAAAATATAAAAATCTTTATAAACAGCTACCCCAGACCCTCCAATACATTTCCCATTGGAAGTAATGGACCCAAAGCACAAGAACCTGAGGGGGGGGGGATACACACATGATTCAAATCCTGAACTGGCAATGCCTTATATGAACACTAGCAGTAAAGCCTGTTGTGGAAATAAATACAACGGAATCTAGAAAGAGGCTCTGGGGGAGTACTCTGGCTTTGGGCAAACAGTGTCATTTTGCTGTGGTGACCTCAGCAGGGTATAATGACAGAGTCCACTGTTTTCTCCAGAGGAACTGATCTCTGGTCCCTGAAGAGCAGTTGTAATTTTGAGTGATCTGTAGCCCTCACCTGGAAATTGGCAACAATTGTTACCCAGGATGAAATGACTGGTTTGGAGGGTGGAGTCTATGGCATTCTACCTGTCTGATGTCCCACCCCTCCGCAAACCCCACCCTCTCCAGGCTCCACCCCTCAAATCCCCAGGAATTTGCCAGCCTGGAGTTGGCAACCCCATCTCCTTCGCAGCTAACCATCAACCTACCATTATCTGCCCCTTTGACTTCAGCTGACTTCCACCCTCCCTTCTGCAGAGCAATTGTAATTTTGAGTGGTCTCCAGCCCTCACCTGGAGATTGGCAACAATGGTTCCCCATGAGGGACTGAGTGGTTTGGAGGGTGGAGTCTATGGCATTGTACCTGTCTGAGGTCCCACCCCTCCTCAAACCTCACCCTCTTCAGGCTCCATCCCTCAAATCTCCAGGAATTTCCCATCGGGAGTTGGCAACCCTATCAGGATTGGCCCCAATATGTTTTCTCCCAAAGGCCAAAGTAGGTGACAGGACCAAGCTTAGTTGCCTACCAACAGGCATTGAGGGGAATGTAGGGTTGCCAGCTCTAAGGAGGGAAATACCTGGAGGTTTGGGGGGTGGATTCTGTAGAGGGCAGCATTGGGGGGGGGCGGAAGGACTCAGCAGGTATAATGTCATAGGGTCTACCCTCCAAAGCAGCCATTTTCTCCAGGGGAAACTGATCTCTGTCATCTGGAGATCAATTGTAGCAGTGGGAGATCTCCAGGTCCCACCTGGAGATTGGCAACCCTAGGGGAAAGTCAGCTGCACAGCAGGGGGTTGAAGAGAATGGTTTGATGGGTGCTGGGCCAAGATTGGCAACAATAGTTCCCCAGGAGCAAATAGCTGGGTTGGAGGGTGGAGTCTATGGCACTGTAACCTGTCTGAGGTCCCCAGCTCCCCAGGCAGCTTTTAAAACATGATCCTGGGACCTACACACCACCAGACATTCCAACTGCCTTGGGGGGGGGAGTATGAGGTGTGGAATGGAGTGAAGTCCAATCAGCTTCCATATGCAAAAGACCCTGAAGGTTCCATATGCAACTGACATTCCAACTGCCTTGCGGGGAGGGGGGTGAGTTTGAGGTGTGGAATGCAGTGAAGTCCAATCAGCTTCCATATGCAAAAGACCTTGGAACACTGGGCGGGACTGCACAAAGCAGCCAGTCAACCCAGCCAGTGTCTTCTGAGTGGCAGTTTTTCCGGCCTAACACTAAAGGGGCCAAATTTAGAATGTCCATATAGAATGTTCTTACTCAATTATATATAAGAGAGATAAGCCATTACAGGAGGGGAAAATCTCCCTTCCTGAACTGAATACAAAAGTATAATGAATGCTTTTTGGGTGCATACCCCTAGTCCTTAGGTGAAATAATTTCGTAAAAAATATTTTTATTTTATCTTACTGTTTCATTTTCCAAGTGAATGTAAGACAGGCTTTCATTCTAAAGGTGAGTTAGGCATTTGCATCATATGAATTCTAAAGAGTAATAGGGCCATCTCTGTGTGTCGTGTATTTTATCCATAACATATTAACTGATTGAAATTTAAATAGTGGCTAAAGAGAGGTCAGCTAATGTAAAATTACTTGGTTATGTTTGATTCCACAGGTTTTTCCCCCTGAGGGCTTTCTTTCCAAAGATGAAGGTGTCATTAAGTGGCGTCTGACTGAGCTGAGGGGCAGCAAGGGGGAGAGAGGCCTGTCCTTCTGTTCAAAATCACCAACCTCAGCTGCTTTTCTCCCCAAAGGTAAAGATAGAAAGGATACGGTCCTTTCATTTCCTCCACTCAGCCACCTGCAGCTGATTTATCTCATACAAAATGGAGGGGGGGAGGAATAATGGAACTACGTGTAACAATGTGGAGCTCCACCCTGAAGTATTTTCCCTCTAAATGCTGAATTAGTTCCTTTACTCTTGACCAAGGACATCTTCAGAACAAAGGGCACTTAACACATTCTTCTTCCCTATGGTTTTTAAACACTAGTTCCTGCCATCTTGCTTCAGAAAGGGAATTTCATGACAAAAACGGCAGAGTAGGGAAGGCAAAGCAGAAGTCTTTGTGCAGGAAGTGAGTTTGTCATTTCACTAGGGTATTTTTCATTATCTTCCTTTGGCTTTGCTGAACATCTTCCATGTTTGTGGAGATGAGAAGGGAAATAAACACCACCCCTCTGTATATGTACCTCTCTCTCTCTCTCTCTCCCTACCCCCACTGCCATTTCTAGTAGCATGAAGGGAATAGAGGCAGGGGATTCTTAGCAAGCCACTAATTGTTTGGGAGGAGGACAGGGTGATGCTCTCCAACAACCCACTTGCCCATTCATTGTGGCTCCCCATTAACCTAGCTCCCAGTTAGCTTCCTTCAGGTGCTGGCAAAATATCATCTCCGGGAGCGAAACCAGAAGCCAGTACAGACATTTCAGCCACGTTAACTGTAGCACTGCAACCCCTACTGGACCAAATGATGAATCTCAACCAAAATTTTGAAACACTCCAAAAACAGATGGTAAAGAACTCTAATGCAGTCAAAAAGGTTGTTTTTAAAACATCTGTACTTGATCAAAAAGTGGACCAATTACAAAAAGAAAGAACCTCTGATAAAGAACAATTCCTTGGGCTTCAATCAGAAAAATCAGCCTATGTGCTGAGGTTTCAAGATGTTCCAGAACAAAGTGGTGAGAATCTCAAAGAAATCTTGACTCAAGCATTAGCCCCAATGACAGGTATGAAACCTGTTATTAAGCGATATGGATGTGGTCTATAAATCATACCCCAAATACATAAAGAAGAGAAACCTGCCTGGGGAAATTATAGTCAGATTCTTGAAAAGGTCTATAAGAGACGCAGTTCTTAAAGCTATCAATGGAAACATCTTGAAGATTAAAGAGTTGGAAATAAGAGTTCTAAAGGATGTACCATTTGAAATCAGAAAGAAGCGAAGATATTACAAAGATTTAACTACATTTCTACAAAATAAATAAATAAGCTACAGATGGCTTCTACTGGAAGGATTAACATTCAACTACAAGGATTTAAAAGAAAAGATTGACTCTGTTGATAAAGCAAAACGATTTTTGGAGAAAGTTCAAGGACTACCAACGGAAATAACAGCAGAAGAAGAGAAGAGTCATCAAGAAGAAGGAGAATACAGCTCGCATGGCTCGAGAAGTTCAGAATCAGATACAACCAGTTCATCTGAAGAAGATTCCTCATCAGAATTGGGAGAAGCTGCACCCAAATTACCCAAAGGCAAAACTGACTTTGATAAAGATAAAAAGAAGGGAAGAAGAAACAAGAATGTAACTGAGACATAAGCACTTGAAGAGATAATTATCTTGCTTAGTTGCTCAGAGCAAATACTTATATTTTAAGCTTTTACTTACTGTTATAAACTGAAAAGAAACTTTACTCATGTCTGACTTAATATGAGAAACTTGAATAAGCATTTATTACCAGCAATATATAT